GCGACAGCGGCCGGGGAGGGGCCCCGGGGCAACAGCGACAGCGTCTGCCTGGAGAGTAAGGAGGAGGTGCCAGGGAGGTCTTTGCCCTTGGATCCCCTTCCCCACACTCTGGGAATGCTTTTCCTGCTCCTCTGCAGTCACTGGAGCTCTCCAAGCGTTCTGAAGATCTCTTGGTGCCGAAGATTTGCAGTTTCAGCCGGGTTTAGGATGTGGAATCTTTTTCTTTGCCTTTAAGCTGTGCTGGGATGTTTCCTCTTTGGTGAAGGGTGGTTTAGTCACGGAGCACAGAAAGATTGGGGTTTTTTTCATCTTTTTGATGGAGCTGAATGGTGGCTGCTCTGCATTCCAGGTGCTGGGGGCTGGGTGACTCTGGTGATCATCTGCAGCTTCTTCGTCCTCTCAGCCTGCCTTTGTTCTGTGCCTCCAGCAAGGAGATTGTGAGTGGATCCATCAGCTGTGTCCCAGCAAAACCGGGATGGTTATCAGGAGGGATTAAATCCCACAATGGTTTGGGTTGAAAGAGATCTTAAATCCCACCCAGTGCCACCCCTGCCATGGCAGGGACACCTCCTGCTGTCCCAGGAGCTCCAGCCCCAGTGTCCAACCTGGCCTTGGGCACTGCCAGAGATCCAGCAGATCTGGGCACCCTGTGCCAGTGCATTTTAAAAATCTTCACTCCCATCTAATCTAAATCAACCCTCTTTTAGTTTAAAAATAGTTTAAAACCATTTCCCCTTGTCCTACAGGATGATCACGCCCCTTCACGAGCATGGAACATTGAGGATTGTTCAAAATGAAGTTTTCAGAGTATATGTAAAAACAAGATAATAAAACAAGGCTCTAAGCTTAAAATACACCCGTAGTCCATAGATATTGTGAATTTTTAACAAGATCTTGAAACCAAACTGAAGGGGAGCAACCCCTGGGAATTATCCCCACCCAGCCAAGAGCTCTGCAGGTCCCTCTGAGGGCAGATCCACGATCACACCTGGGTTCATTCCACACCAAGGAGCACGAGGGTGCTGCAGGTACACCATTCACGTTTTCAATTGCATTTATCCCCCCTGCAGGTTCCAGTGGCTCCTGTCCCTCCTCCTGCCAGAGTGGCAGAGCAAAGCCATTCCCGACCCTGCCAACGCCACGTGGGCCAAGAGCTTAGCAGCTACCAAGGTAAATTAGAGAGGTTTTTCCTTCTAATCCCACAACCTTCATTAAAAAGAAGCAATTGGAGCCATGCGAGCCAGTAATCTCCTAAAGCAGCAAATCCAGCAATCTCTGGCAGCGGATCATCTCCGCTGGAGGAGACTGGAGGATGTGCTGGGCGAATTAAATCCCAGAAGAATGCCGAGATCTCCCGTTCCCGGCGGGATGAGCAGCTGTGGGGAGCGAGCCCCGGCAGATCCGCGCCGGGATTCATTCCCTGTCCCCCCGCAGGCGGAGCTGAGCGCTCCCTCCAGCCCCTTCCTGCCCTGCGGCTTCGAGGAGCCCGAACCGAGCCCGGTGGAGGAAACCTCGGTGGCTCCCCCCGAGCCCCCCATACCCGGGGACAAGCTGGTGGTGGGCAGCGCTGGGCACGGAGACTGGGCACAGGAGAGCCCGGCGGAGGAGCAGCAGCTCCCGGAGCTGTACCAGAGGCTGGTGGTGGAGGCGATGGAGCCCCCCAAGCCCAAGCCCATCTCCAACCCCGGCACCCTGTGCCCGGAGCCCGAGCCCATCTCCAACCCTGGCACCCTGTGCCCGGAGCCAGCCCCTGCCCCCGAGTACATCTCCAACCTCAGCACCCTGTGCCCAGAGCTGGACCCTACCCCTGAACCCATCTCCAACCTCAGCACCCTGTGCCCGGAGCCGGCCCCTGCCCCCGAACCCATCTCCAACCTCAGCACCCTGTGCCCAGAGCTGGACCCTACCCCCGAACCCATCTCCAACCTCAGCACCCTGTGCCCGGAGCCGGCCCCTGCCCCCGAACCCATCTCCAACCTCAGCACCCTGTGCCCGGAGCCGGCCCCTGCCCCCGAACCCATCTCCAACCTCAGCACCCTGTGCCCAGAGCTGCACCCTACCCCCGAACCCATCTCCAACCCTGGCACCCTGTGCCCAGAGCCGGACCCTACTCCCGAACCCATCTCCAACCTCAGCACCCTGTGCCCGGAGCCAGCCCCTGCCCCCGAGTACATCTCCAACCCTGGCACCCCGTGCCCGGCCCCTGCCCCCGAGCCCGACCCCAGCCCCTTCTCCGCCTTCCCGGCCGCGTTCCTGCCTCCTGCCCTCTGCTGCCAGGGGAATCTGACTTTGGACCGAGTGAAGCTCAGCGGCAGCTCTTTCCCGAGGTAGGCAGGGGGCGATGTGAGCCCGGCGAGAATTTTGGCACTTTACAAAGCATTTCGGTGCTTAGAGGTGAGCTCAGCCTGGATTTTGGCACTTTACAGAGTATTTCAGTGTTTCATTGCGAGCTCAGCTCGGATTTTGGCACCTTACACAGTGTTTTGTGTAAGCCCAGCCTGGATTTTGGCATTTGTGAAATATTTCAGTGTTTCAGCACAGCCAGTCCAGTCCCTCACATGTGACACCTCCGAGTGACAAAACCCTTCCCCAGTCACACCTCACCTTAGGACACGGCTGCTCCTCTGCCACTCTGCAATCAGAGGCACAGCTGGGGATGCCAGAGCTGGATTTTGGGGATTTTGGGGATTTTGGGAGCCCTTCCTGCAGCCCGGGCTGCCTCAAGCCCAGGATCAGAGCTGGAAATCATAATTTCCACCAGAAAGAGCAAGGAACTGTAAAAGGGAAGGATGAAGCAGCTCAGCACCTCTTGTTCCTCCCTTGGCACCAGGTCACAGAGTCCCCAGTGTCACCACGAGGGACACAGCACCAGAGCCAGGGCCCCTTCCTTGCCTCAGTTCAGGGCAGGAAAATTCCTCCCCAGAACTAAAAGCAGCAGGCAGCATCTGTACTCAGTCAAATGGACTGTCAAGAGGAATTTCAGTGATTTATTGGAGTGTTCTAATTACAGGCTGCAAGGGTGTTACACATTTAATGACTTTGTTTACCAGATGTGTGTATATAAATAAAATGTTGGAAATCTGAACTTGGCTTCCTGTTGTTTTCTCTGGTCAAGCTCCAGCTTTACAGAGAACAATTAAATATTAAAAATAAAGCTGAAACATTGCAGTTAGTGAGGGAATAGTCCAGGTGTGGACTTACCTGGAGCATCCTCTGCATCCCCAAGCAGGGGCACGAGCTGCTGCTGCCACCACTCAAGTGCAGATTTGGATATTGCCAAATACCAGCTCAGCCATTGCACTTTGGGCCTCTGAGGTCTGGTCCCACCTGTGTCAGCTGGCTGGGTGACATCAAAGGAAAACATCTCCCTCAGAACTGGGTCAGACATCCAAAAAACCAGAACTTGCTGCCTGCTCTCCACACCCTGCCTAGGGGCCACAACTCAGCCCCTCCAGTCAACCCTGCTAACCAAACTGAACCAGAAAGGCAGATTAGATGCCAAAAAAGGGTTTTCTCATAAATCACTGTTTTGCAAATCACCTTCTTCAGCATGCTGATTTTCTAGCTCAACATAAGGATAAGAGAACACTGGAATTCATTTTGTCCTCACTCCACAAATCTCTAAATCTATCAAGAAGTGGGAATTCATGTCCAGCCTTACCCCAAGAGACAAGGGCCAGACTTCTGTAACTCCAGCCTGGTACTCTCCCATCCCAAGAGGGGATTCCCCCCTCAGGACACCCTTTCCAGCAGGAATGTCCTGGGAACAGCCTGAATGTGGAACCTGGCAGAGGCAGAGCAGCCCACAGTGCCCAAGGCAGGGAGTTTGGTCCTTGGAATGACTTTGGGAATCAGCAGGCTGGCACAGCTGGAAGAGGCTGTCAGAGCTGGGTTTATTCAACTAAATCTGTCTTTGCAAAGCCATCCCTATGGGCACAGTTACAGGTGAGGTTGGGCCCAGCTCCTCCAACTGCTGCCACCACACATTCCCAATGATTCCTGACATTCCAGGAGAATCCATGTCCTTTCCCACACAGCTAACTCACTCCCCCCTGCTCCCTCTCACCGTTCCAGCTCTGAGAAAACTCCCCTGCTCAAACCTTGCCCTTGCTCATTCCAAGGCCAATCTGCTCCACGCCTCCAACTTTCCCTGCTCTCTTTTCCAAAGGATCAGAATTTAAAAGTTGCACTCCCCTAGATTTGGTGTGACAGCAGGAGCAACCAAGAGAAGGAAAATGTTACTAGAAGCGAGTTCATTAATCATAAATAACCTACTTGGGAGATGCTTTTCCAAGGCAAAATCCATCCTGAGCGTGGGAATGCATGCTGGACTTCCTGGGACAGACCCTAGCTGAGCCACTATGAACCTCAGTGGTTTCATTTCCATGTGGTTTTCAGGACATTGTTTTTAAAAGAGCATGAAAATAAACCTTTATTTAAGTTAACACCCACCAATATTAACGATAAATGTTCACAGTTTTAGTTCTTGACACAAATGGACTGAAAGAGGTGAATTTACATCTGGCAGAACAGCAGAAGGACCAATTTTAAAGTTACAAGCTGTGTTGAAAATCACTCTAGGTGCCATTTGGGAACGCTCCAGAGCAGGAAAAGGGAAAAATCCAGCCAGCAAAATCACCTGGGTGGCATCTGGAAGGGCTGTGCTCCAGGGAAAGCTTTGCTCCACCTGTTTGTGTGTTGTCCAGGCTGTCCCTAAGGCTGGAAGGGCAGCACATCCCACCAGACAGTGGGAGAGGGAAAAGGAACAGCTCAGTTCCTGCAACAGCCCCACTCCGAGAGCAAACTCAGGAGAGGAGAACCAAGGGATTTTCCCACCCTCTGATGGAAAATCTGCCTCCTCCTCCTGCCTGGGGCTGGAAATCCAGGTGAGGGAACTGATCCGTGATACTCACAGTGGGTCACAAGAGGAGCTCTCGTGGAAAACAGCTCAGGAAAAGCAAAGGTAGCTGCTAACACCCCAGCTGAGCAGGCTGGTATTCCATACTCCAAGGTCTCAAACACTTCCTGCCTGTCCTGTACAGTTTTTATAAAAATAGGGTGTTACCTTTAGTTTTCTACCTACCTACAAAACTACAAATCTGTTCTAAGCTGGCCAAAGAGGAAAGCATGAAATAAAATCAGAGATTTGTTCCTACTCTCCTAACAAATGCTGAGAAAACCTATAGGAAATCCTCTTTATGAGCCATTCACTCAACTCCTTTTGTGTATTGAAGGGATACACGGGGATGAAATTGAACCTATGGTGGGATTTTGAGGGGGGAGAAGGAATTTCTTACAATCATTCCCTGGAAAAAACATTTCTTGGTGATGTCCCAGGCAGATCATGAGCACTGCACTGAGCCATGGCTGCATTTGGGTGGAGAGGTGAAGTGTTGAGGTTTTGGGGTGAATTTTTGGTGTCCCATGCACGGATTGCCACTGTCCCAGTGTCAAACCATGAGCCACAACTCCCTCCTGAGCCAGCCCAGCTCCCTCCTGGGAACACCTGGAGCAGTGCTGGGAATGCCTCAGGTACTGCTGCACCTGGGTGGCAACCCCACGTCCCACCTGGAATCCACCTGGGCTTCCAGAGCCACAGCTGCCACCTTCCCCCCATTCCCAGCTCCAACAATTCCCCCAGACTCACGGAATTCCAGCTCCAAGGAAAGGAATTGCCCCAATCTCACGGAATCCCACCTCCAAGGACATGAATTCCCTGTATTTCAGGGTATCCCAGCTCCAAGGACAGGAATTTCCCCCGATCTCATGAAATTCCAGCTCCAACAGCAGGAATTCCCTCTATTTCAGGGCATCCCAGCTGCAACAACAGGAATTCCCTCAGTCTCAGGGTATCCTCTCAAACAAAAAGCAAAGGTAATTAAAAAACTCTGTTTTTGCCAAAAATGCATCTTGTTCTGTTGAAGGGAAGGAAGAGGAAATGAAAGTCCAAAGGGGGAGTGCAAGGTGGGATACAGGATTTTAAAAAACCTGATTTTCAGACCAGTTACCCATTGCTGGATCCATACACAGGTATTGAATCAAAAACCAATGTGCTTTGAATCTTGATTTCAAGTATCTGCTTTAAATTTTCTAGAAAGATTTTGTGTAAACAAACTACCCAACAGAGATGAAGAAATTTCTGGTTTTCCATGTTGGAAGTGAAGCATTAAAACTTAAATACTTCAGGAGTTCGTTCCATAAAGCACTAACAGTCTGCCAAATTAATATTCCACAGATTCCATGGGCTGAGAAAAATCTGCCAAAGAGGAATTAAAGAAACTGAAGTAGTGTGCAATAATTAAAACCTAATTTGGAGTTTGGGGGGAGGAATGGGGAAAGTCTAAAATCCTGACTTTAAATTAAAAAAAAAAAAAAGAACACAAATGAAGGGAAAGCTTTTAACTGGTACACACTGTTCACACCTATATTTCAAGTTTGGAAACGCATATTTTCAAGCAGCAATACAAAAAAGTATCCATGAAGAATGCATAATCTCTGAAAAAATTATGAAAACATCCCTGCTACCATTACATTTCTAAATACAAAACTTGACTACCATATTGTTGCTTCTGTGTAGCGAGAGAAGTTCATTTTCAAAACAGATAAAATTCAGTCTTTAGGTGTGAATGGTATGAATGACAGTCTCTTTTTTTTTTGTTTCTTTTTGTTTTGTTTTTTTTTCAATTTCTTAGTTGTTTTAGGATCCTTAAGCATGCAAGCCTCGGAGAGGAAGGCCCGACCAGGGCAGGGTTGGCTTTATGACATCCAGTTTAGGACAGAGCTGGGAAAGCCTCTGGGTCATCTACGTCAGGAGCAGAAGCACTTGACTGCAAGAGAAACATCACAGAGTTATTGCCTAGAGGCAGAGGTGGCAGCACTTTGGGGCTGGAGGAATCACTACAAAAAACAACCCTTTTTTTGTTTATTCCAAGCATTACAAAGCCTTCCATACTGTTTTTGAATCCAAGCTATCTGGAGAGGAATTGGAGGCAAATTGATGTCTGCACATCCTTATTGCACAATTCTCTTTTTAAAGAGATCTCAGAATGGTCTGGGTTGGAAGGGACCTTCAAGACCACGGAATTCTAACCTCCTGCTGTGGATCAAGCCTTACTGAGGGACACAACTGAAATGTTACAGAAAAGGCCCTATCTGGAGCACAAATTAAGTCCTTCATGTTTAATTTTTCCCACTCAGAAACCAGACGTTGATGACAGTAATTTTTGTGCCAAATTTTTAGCCCTAAAAATTCATGCATTAGCCAAGGATCTCCTCAGTAATTTTCTGAAAGGCTCTGCACCACACCTAAAAACCAGTGCAAAATTTAAGAATTTCATACTCTTCACTTGGTCCTTGGATAAGAAAGGGAGGAGCCAAGATAGTGGAACTTCCTGTCACAGCATTAATTTATCAACAATTATGTTTAAAATGAGAGTTGCATCAACACCTGTAGCTGCAGAATCTCTGCCCTGCCTAAGACTTCAAGGCCACAAACCAGGTTTGAAAAGTAACAGCAGGGCTTAAGCTACAGGCTCAGCACCTCCAGTTGCCCAGCACACAAGAGCAGTAACAGCCAAAAAAAGGAAGTTTTGGTCCCTGATCCCAAGGAATACTCATGCAGAGCTCACCCACCTGGTTGGGCGTGTGGATCACATCAAACTCCTTGACCAACTGCAAGGAAACAAAAGCAACACAAAGTCAGGTGCAGGAAAACTTGGAATGACTTTACAGCAGCATTTTTGAAGAGTATTAGTGAAACAACTCAGACCAAACCACCACTGTTTAATTTCAATTCCTTAAAATATTCTGATACTGCTGTCAGGAGAGGCTTCCCAACTAATAAACTAAAATTTGTGAAGTCTGTGTCGGCTAGAAGGGACAAAACCAAGCAAATCCCTGTAAAGAGAACCACAGCACACACACTGAGCTCATTTTCCAACCAGTAACAATTTGATTGATGCCTTTAAGGCAAGTAAGTGATCCATAATAAATCAAATCTTCATTGTAGCTACACTGCAGTGCTTGAACTTCACATATTCTCTCCCAGACCCCATACAGTATTTTTGCAGGATATTCCCCTCAGTGCCTTAGCACCAAAGAAGGGTAAAACATTACTGGAGGTTAGAGAAAAACCAGTAAGAACCCTGTTTCCAACTGGAAAATCTGAATTCCTCAGGTTCAAGATGTGACATGCAGCTGTACAACCAGTCCTTCACCCCCAGCAGGTCACAATGCACACAGAGTGTCCTGGCTGTGGCTGAAAATAACCAGCCCAGCACTTGTGGCTCTGCTCTGGCACCACCTCAGACAGCTCATGGTACATTCAGATCAGCCCACACTACAAAGCCATTCTTTAGGTTCAGACATAGACAGGCACTTGTCAAAAATTCACCTTCACTCTGCGTGTTTGGTGACAGCACTGCTCAAACGTTTTGTCCTAAGGAGGCGGTTTCACGTCAGCTTTGCCCAGCAGGGATTTCAGGTGGGTTTAAACCACTGCTGTCACAGCATCCCCCCGGGGACAAGGAGGATGCCAGCAGGATGGACGTGATGGCCTCAGCCGGGATGCTGCTCACCTTGTCAGTCCTGCCCCCGCGGCTGGCCCTGCCCCCGCGGCCCCGGCCCCCCCGGCCGCCTCTGCCGCCGCGCCCGGGGCGCCCCAGGTCTCCGAAGTTGATCTCCAGCTGGGACGTGATGTCGTTGGCGGGCTTGCGGAAGTGGTGATCCATCACCGAGTCCTCAGCGTGAGCCTGCAACCACCAGCAGTTCTCCATCAGCAGGGCAAGAGCACCAAAATCCCCTCCTGGCCAGCCCCACAGCCACTCCCGGCTTGCCCTCGGAATTTCTGAGGAACCAAAGTATTCGGCCTTTCCAAGAGAATTTATGAGTTCACACAATCGCTGAGGGTGGGAAAATCCTCCAGGATTGAGCCCAACCTGTGCCAAACCCCCTCCTTGTCCCCAGCCCACGTCCAGTCCTCCCCTGGACACCCCCAGGGATGGGCAATCCAAACCTCCCTGGACAGCTCCTTCCAATGCCTCAACACCCTTTCCATAGAGAAATGCTTCCCAAAATTCCATCAGAGCAACGTGTGCTTAATCCCAGACCAGACTGACTATTACCAAACCAGTAGAGAATCTCATGCTGTAGCAATTCTCATTTTGTGTCCTGGTTCCACCAATTCCTTCCATTCTTTTTCCACTCTTGGTCACACATCCTGATTTTGCTCCCTGAGGATTTACACTTTATTTGTTTTAGCCCTTGATAAATACTGAGAATCCCTCACTGCTCTGCATTCACTGTAACAGAAAATGAGGTCAAAAAGCTCAAACACAAGGAGCTGAAGGAGCTAAAACACAACCAGTCTCACCAGGGACACTGGAGAATGTGGATCTCAGCAGCTTTGCCATGATATTCCCTGACTGGTTTGCTCCCAGTGCGTTTAGTGAAACCCAAGCCTGGAGGAGCAAGGGATGCTCCCAGGAGTTACCAACACCAGCAACCTTGGAAAATTTCAGTCACACGCTGAACCCCAGCAGGTGTTTTTAAAGCAGTTATTTCTCCTGTTTTACACAAATATTTTTTCCACGTGCTAGCCAGTTTTCGGCATCCAGGATAACAAAAAGAATGTAAAAACCTGCCCATTACAGCTCAACCATGGTGTTTTGGAAACATGACAGCATCCAAACATTTTCCTTCCCTCCAAACCCCCAACTCCTGGCACAGCACTCATCAATTTCCTGGTTTTCCCACACAAATGCCATGTGCAGTTCAAGCTTCCCAACTACAACTGACTTTTCTGCTGTAGTTACACAACATTTGGACTTTCAAAGGCAACACATTGTGCAATTAAGCCCTGTGATCTTTAATTACCATTTGTGGAGACTTCACAAGACCAGGGGATGGAGCCAGGTCTGGAGCCAAAGCTGCTGCCAGGGATTCCACGGGTCCTTCCCAATATCCCATCTATCCCTGCCATTCCCCTTTGTCCCCTCCCTCCATCCCAAATTTGGTTCAAAATACCCCTTGCATGCTGCTTTATTTCCAACACATTCCACTGGGATGTATCCCACAGAACAGCTGGTCCCTACTCCACTCCTGATTTTATTTTTCCTTCCTTTGGGAACCTCTTTGCCAAACTTAGGAAGTTTGTCTCGACAAAGTATTCCACACCTCAGCCTGACATGGCACTACTCAAACCTAACACTAAAAATCTGTAAAACATCTCTTAGAAATGATTTAAATTCCTTTCTTACTATTTAATTTTTTATCACTGCAGGGTACTGAGATTCTATTCCCAACTACTGGTAGCCAGGTGGCAAATCCCTTTTCTGAGTGGTGGGATCAGTGGATTTGCACAGTATTTCTGTGCATTTCTGTCCCTATGCTGCTTTTATTTAAAACTAAATCACTACAGTTTAACAAAAGTCATCGTATTTCCACAATTTGCTGTTGGTATAACCACTGAACCAACAAATTGCAAATTCCCTGTGTAACCTGATTATTTCTCTATCCAAAGTAATTAAAGGTCATTTAAAACTCCAACAAAAGACTTGGCACATTCTCCTCAGCCTCTTCCATCACTGGGGTGGTAAGTCAGACACACTGAACAAGTTGCTTATCCTGAAAAACCCTGGGAAACATTTGATTTCTATGTATTGGTGACTCAACAGTGCTCTGATTTAATAACTGATCACTTCTTGAAGGCAGTGCTGCACTTAAGGGTATTGGGGAAGGCTTTCAAAAATGAAGAACTACCAAGAGAGTCAAAGCAAACAGGGAGAGATGGAAAAACAGCAGCAACAAAAAATAGAGACTCATGATAGAAGCTCTAAGGTTTGAAATAAGCAGGATAAGGAGCAAGAGGACTAAAACCATGCTGGGTGCTGGATGGTGCACAGTGAGACAACAGGCACGGACAGAAAAGCTCCACATTCAATAAAATTCTTTCTTTTGGTGAGTTTTTAATATCCAAACGTTCCCTGCTGAAGGGGCTGATGTTAACAGCAGGTATCACCACTGACAGATAAAGATCAGTACCTCATTTGAATCCAGCAGACTCCCCTGCATTTCTGTCATCGCCTTTGTCTGGTGACAGTTGGGTGTCCACGCCAAAGTGACAAAAGGAACAGAGGGAGAAAACAAAAGGAAGAAATGAGACTCAACTACATACAGGAACAACAGGTAATCAGGTCACAGGAGCTGCTGGGTACAGATGGCACTGGGCACATGGAGCAGCTGTGCAAGCAGCCAGAGACAGCACAGGATGGATGGGCCAAGTGTGGAGACAAGAGAGAGCTCAAATGGACACAAAAAACAGCTCATATGGACATCAAAAAACAGCTCAGATGGACAGACACCAAAACAAAGCTCAGGTGGACACCAAGAAAAAGCTCAGATGGACAGACACCAAGAAGTTGCCCAGGAAGCCCTGACAGAGACCACACATGCAGGCTGGTCACACGTCAGGCATGGAGATGGGAAGAGCTGGGATGTTTGAACCAGTGTTCATGGAAATCTTCCTGCAGAACCTTCATTCAAGAGTCATTCCTCCCAACTTTGAGGGGATGAATCATTCTTTTCCAAAATACATCTCCTCATCTCCTAGTGCAACCTCCTCTAAGGAAGGGATTGGATGAGTGAGGGGGTTTGAAGAGGCACAGCAGGGACAGAGGTATCAGTTTTTCCAGGAGTCCTGGATTCCACTTTTGGGATGAATTGTAGGATCTGTCCACAATATAACTACTTCCTGTTTTTTGCAGGAACTGAAGACTCAAGCCACTAAAACAGCTGCAGAGAAAAAGAGGAACTCTGTTTTATTGCATAAGCCATAACGTGTTCTGGGAAGAGGCTCCTTGGACCAGGGCTGCTGATGGCCCTGGATGTCAGATTAAAGCAGCAAAACCTGAGACAGAACTGAGTTCATTCTATCAGTGCCTGCAGAGTAAATGGGAACTAGAGGACAGACTCAGGCAGGGCTGAGCATTTCACCCCTCAGCCAGGAGGGAAAGGAGGACAGCCCTTTCCCAAGACTGGGCAGCATCAGATTCTCATTCTCCCTTTTCCCAGACTCCTGAAGCATTCTCCAAGGAGTTGTCAAGCTACAGGAATGCAGGTGCTCATCACAACACTTGAGATTTCTGAGACATCAACTGGGGCACACAGGGCTTTTTAGCTGTAAGAGTACAGAAGATCTGGGGCTAAAATCCAAAATTTACCTATAAACCAAATCACTTCCACCCATCATCTTCTTCTTACGGATAAGAATTAGAGAATTTCTTGACTCCTAAGTACATCCAAGAGGACAAAGAAAGGAAACAGCAGGTGATTGGTGGTTTTTAAACTATGTTGCCTTCTAAAGCTGCTCACAAAGGAGCTGCAGTGGAAGCTTTCCTAACGCCTGTATTATAGAGCTATTCTCCTATAATCCTGAGAGAAAATCCCCACACTGCTTCCCATGGGATCAGGGAACAATGAAGAAGGGAGATGGGGAGACACATCTGCTGGATGGACAATAAAGCAGGCTAAAAGCAGCTCAATTTGAAGGCAGATTTGTTAATACCTCACTTTCATGCTTACGCAGCAAGAGGCTGTTACCTTCTTATGTGATGGTGCTAAAAATACCCAACTTGTTTATTTGAGAAGTTCACCTCTTAAACAGAACAATCTACTAATTACATCAGGTCTTCCATGGGAGTAATTTGATTATTCACAGCTTTTGTACAGATTTTTTGTTACTGTTTTTTGCTTGGTTGTTTTGTTAGGTGGTTTTTTTAATAGGTAACTGATTCAGATTTCAAATGGAAAATAGTCTGGATCTTTCTAGCTTCTAAATTTCTCACAAGTAGCATCACATTTACAATCATATATGCTCATATGTTAAAAAAGAGTGCCCTCAGATGAGTAAATGTCAAATAAATGTGATTCAGAGAGACTGAGGGAATCTGAAGAACTACAGGCTTAGTACATCTTGGTAAAGTACATAAATAGTTCTGTTTAATACATTCTTTCAGCACACAGCAACATTAAATGTAACTCAAATTCCCTTTTCTACCCAAGCCAGAGAAAGCAGCATTTAATGAACACGTCAGTGAGCAGCCATGCAGTCACTTCAAGAACTGAACTACCCCACACAGCAAGAAAACAGCCTGATCTGTGACCAAGTCAACCCCACTGGGAGCTCAATCAGAGCAGAAATTTAACTTTCACTGAACACTGAGCAGTGCCCCCACCCACTACCCACCCATGGATTACATCCCAGCTCACAGGATAAAGACTGGCAAGGTGTGAAAAAGCAGGAATACATTTTAGGAGAGCAAGCAGAGTATTACACACTATCCAGTCACTTCAAAGTACTCGGCACCATCAGTATACAAAGTTGCTGCCACCAACCTCTTAAGCGAGCTACTTAACATATTACAGAGTGTTAAAAACAAAGATTAGAACTATAGATTAGCACAGCCCTGCATTACAAAACAAGAGCTCCCAGCACTTCCCTCCCCTGTGCATCTCCCCTTGCCACTCTTGGAACAGAATAATGAACATTATGCAATGCCTGAAATGAGAAACTACGAATTTAAAACAATTCTACAGCAGCTAAGCTGAGTGTCACTGGAGCACATAAATCATCCCAACTGCCTTCCCAAGAGCTTGTCTGTGTCACAGCACTAAGTGAGAAGACACCCACACCACAAATTTCAGATGCACAGTCTGGGTTTAAGGTCTCTGAGGCATGACCAGTCTTCCTTCAAGCTGACATCACTTAGCAAGCACCATGAACCTGTGTACTGCAGAACAGATGCTAAATAACACAAGCTGCCTTTTTTAGAAAGCAAACTTGACAACATTCCCCTGAAACTCTCACCAAGAGGCAATTCTTACAAACCTAAGGGCACAGCTCAGCTCCTGAACCCAACCACAGTCAGAATGGCCACTTGTGCTACTGCAGGAGTTCAACTCTGCTAAAAGAACGTTGCTCAAATGAACAAGAATGAAGCTCAAATTTTAAAAAATGCTGTTCCCACTTTGGAAACTTCTAATTAAAGATCAGCGTCTCCCAGAATGGAGCTCCCGCTCCAAAAAATGCTCATCAACAACAAAACCTTTAGGAAGTGGACGCTCTGTGTATGGAAAGGCACTTTACCTCCTCACTCTTTGACTTGTGGAGCACAAATCCTTTTTTCCACTGCCCATCAGCTCCCTCGTTTGGTTTGCGGATGTTGAACTCGACTTTTGCACGATCCTTGCTTTGAATGGCTTTCCACTCATCCAGGGTCATCTCCTTGGGGCCTTCTTCCTTAACTTCTTCAACCTCATTCTCTCTGTGGTGAATTCATGCAGATTATCATCACAACTAAGGATTTACACTCTGAATACAATCTCAAAATTGTTTGCTGGCTGGTACCAGGTTATAAATTGAACTTTGTCAAGGATTTAGCAGTTAAAAGATGAAAACATCAACACTCGCTTCCACCACAGGAAAGTTCAACTCCTTTAGAGGGAGCGCCAAAAAAATTACACCAGCCACCTCTGAGCACAGCAAAATGTTAAAATTAAAACTGACCCATGCCATCAAATCTCCACATTACTGACAATTTTATTTCCAAATCTGAAAGCCCAGCTCGTGGCATGACTCACTTGGAGCTCCTTCCCCCCTTTTTGAAATACATCTCTCATACACATTCAAGTCAAGACAGTGAGAACTTGTTCTTCCCACAGTTTTCAAGCTTTTTAGTATTTTAAAAACCAAAATTTAAGCAGCTTTGGATAATTTGCTTCCTTTGTTGAACTAAAGACAATTATTCAAACAAATTTTACTTCCAGCTCCTTTGAAAAAGTAACAGCACACACCATATTGGTGAGATACAGCACATCTACCTTGTGCCAAAGGCTATTTTTAAGTAAAACACACAACCACTGTGCTCAGTAACAGATCATATTCCAGCTACTGGAAACCTCTGGTCATTGTTCAGTGCATTTATGCAACTGAATTTCTGATTTATAGGAAACCAATGCTGTGTATGTGCAGCAAAAAAGAACATAAAAGCCTCAATTTCAAAGGTTTTCATTTGGCAGCCATTAATTTTGAACAATAACACAAAGGTTTTATGTCAAAATAACTGTATTTCAGCTTTTTCTCACTGTGTAAGAGAATGATTTTTGACACGGGATGTAATCAGAATTTGTTTTGTTCAAGGCAAAGATTTTACTGCAGTAAAACATCCTACAGTTCTGCTGAAACACAGAGTAAAGATCCACATAAAACCAGACAATTAAAAAGTTACCCATGTGGAGATGCTTTTCTATAGAGAAACTTTTCAGTGAGGCAACCAGGCCATGGCAAACACACTAGGAATGACCAGGAACAAGTACTTCAAAATTCTGTTTGCCATTTTTGGAGTCCTCTACAAAGCCCACTCCTCATTAAAATACAACATTAGTCACACTAGGCTACCATAACAATTTGTATTGTATTTTTACATCAACTCAGTATCACTGAGGCTCCCTCTGCTTCTCTGGTTACTCTTTCATTCATCCAGTCCCTGGCTCCTTCTGTAACTGTGTCCAAGTCAGATGGGAAGAGATCCAGGTAACTTTGAAAACTGCCTGGAGAATGAAAGATACAACCTTTCTCCTACAGCTCAGGCACACAGTCTCCAAGATTCCTTTGGAAAATTAAGTTTTAAAAAGTTGCCTTCCACTGGCACTTCTGTCCCATTTGCTTTGTGCTCCTACCTAGTCTGAGCCCAGATGCTTTTAGGTTTGGAATTTGGCGTTGCAATCCCAAGACCCAAAGTGTATTAGAAATGATCATTAATAAATAAATCTGAGAGAGCCTGCAGGACACCAAGGAATGGTTTAAAACAAACAATTTCCAGAGACTCATTCAGCAGCACTGTGGATGATCTCCTGATAATGTGAGCTTGGCCTAGGAGATGTGGGAATAAGTAGCAGAGGTTAAAGGGAATGCAAGAGCACCTCTGAAGCACCAGGAGCATGGAGAGGGGTGGTACTCACTTATTTTCAGAATCAGCAGGTGGATGCTCCTCTCCCTCCGGCGTTTCCTCAGTTACAGCTGACTGATCCAATTCACTGCAATTACATAATGTTGGGAGTTGGGGCTTTTTTACAACTTCATCCCTGTTTAAAGCTATGTAAGATAACAATCAAGATCTACGGTGGATTTACTGTTTCAGTAAGGATTGGTGCTCTCTGTGCCTTTTAAACTCTATGCTTTTCACTTAACTAATGGTTTTCCCCAACGCTTCCTACTACCTCTCCTGAAAGGCTCCCACTGTCCTTTCCAAAACAAAATGGGTTTGGGCATTAAAAACAGATTTCAACGGGACAGCTGAATTTTTGTAATACAAAATGCATGCTTATTAAAAATTACTAAAAATAGAACGGTTTAATTTTAACAAAGAACTACCAATGAAGAATCACCAAACCAGCACAAGACCTCCCAAACTTCCCCAAAACTCTGGCTGAACAACGAAGCTATTCTTATGCTACAAGAAATCGCTGGGGTTTTAAACTCTGCAGAAGCGTGGCAAAAATCATGGAGATCAAAGGCAAAAAGGCAGCTAAATCTGGCTGTTCTGCAAGCCATAATTAGAGCTGATTAACATAGTGCTAATGGTTTTCTGAGCAATGACAGGTTACTAACGTTAGCTCGTCTTTGACGGTTCCCCAGTTGTGTGATCCGCTGCCACCGCGCTTGTCCTCGTGCTTTAGGCCGCTGAAATGTGAATGTGAAACAGAACTAACAAAACTGAGTTAACATTATAGTGTCCAGACACAGAAATTCAAAAGATCAATTTTAAACGGGGGTGGGGCAGAGCGATAAAGGGGAGCCACGAGGGACAGGAAAAGGTAAAGACTCACGATCTATCGCTGCCGCTGTGTCTGTCAAATTCCCGTTTGCCACGAGAGTCAAACCCATCTCCTCGGCCCATCCCGCGCCCGCGGCCACGGCCCCGGCCCAGGCCTCCACGTCCACGCATGGGTCGGTCCAGGATGGGTCTGGCATGGAACAGCCACAGCTCAGGGATCCACTCCAGGAACAGACAGCATTTCGTGCTCTTGTCCTCTCTCCGAGGATTTTATTTACTTGGCTTTGCTTTGATAATTACTGTTTCTAAGCTGGGTCAAGCGATTTGCCTTCAAAAATGCACAGTGTGTTTCATGGCTCTTTTCCTCTTTGAGAACTTTATTTACTTGTTTTTCCTTTGATAATTAGTTGGTAGCTGGGTTCAGGCTCTAGTTTCAAGAAAGTCACTCCCCCATTCCTGGAAGTGTCCAAGGCCAGACTGGAAGGGCTTGGAATAACCTGGGACAGCAGAAGGTCCCTGCCCATGCTATAGGTTGGAACCAGATCACCTTTGAGGTCTCTTCCAACCCAAACCATCCTGTGGTTCCATGATTTTAGATTTTGGAAACAAATGCTCAGGACTGTTGTTTGTTTGTACCTTCTGACATTAATTCCAAAATTTAATCTTTGTATTGTGCTACACAATTAACTAATGCTCAAACTTCAATTAAACTCACTTTCATACAACTTACTTTTAAAAAGATTTAAACTTTGGCAACTAAAACTTTAATATTTGAACACTGCTCGAATTTTGGCTGCCTCACAATGCTCAAGACAGTTTAAATATCATGTAGATCTAAGATGGCTTCACCACTTCCAGGTCTGAAGCTGTTGCAACCAGGGTAAAAACATCTACATAGACAAACTTGTGCTGGCTTTAAATCAGCTGTGGAAATTGAAGCCACAGCTGTAACAGCAAACAAATCTCATCCTGCAGGAAACAGCTATGCTTGGGCTCCCTTCCTGAGCTATTTGACACAGATGTAGAGAAATGTGGTATCTTGATTTAAACCATAATTCAGTTACACCTATGAACCTGTTCATGCACATCACTCCCAGCCTAAAACCCGAGTTAAGTTTGCAAACAAAAACATGGAAAAGGGAAGTGTTATTATGTGCAAGACAGGAATTTAACCTCGATTCCATCAGCTCTTTTACCTGAGCAGCAGAAGGCAGGACTGCCCTGCCTGTCAAAGCTGGGAAAGCTGTTTATCAGCAAGACAAAACTCTTACTTATCCACAGAGAACTCTCCTCCCTCGCCCTTCTCCTCGGCGGGTTTCTCGAAGCGGCGCTCGCGGGGAGGTCGTCGCTCGGGTCTCCTGTCGATGGGTTTGCCTTCACCCTGCTGCTGTTGCTGCTGCTGCTGATCAGGCCTCCTGCCAATCCTCCTTATCCCTGAAACATCAGGCCAGACACATCAACGGAATGTGGAGTGCTCCGGGACAGATACCAACCCCACCCCCAGCAAACAAGCGGGAAGAGAGAAGTTTTATTGCTGCACAAGCTGAGCAGCCCCACTTCCACCTGACTCCTCTCAGTCCCTTTTATACCCAGGATTTCAAGCTGGGTTTGACTGAAAACTTAAGTAATCCCTGCTGAAGCAACAGGGTCAACTTTCAGACAAAGATCAAGGTAAGCAGGATTTTATTACTATTTTTTTTCACTGAAAAGCGCTTTTTAGGTAAAACAAGTGAGTTTTATTTGAAGAACACCCAAACCAAGTGAGCATCACCTCACTGGCCCTAAGCCAGTCAATCCTGTGCTCCCTAAAAGAGTCACTCCTGTGCTGCTCTAAGAGCTGGACCTCATGATCTTGGAGGTGTTTCTCAACCTAAATGATCCTGGGATTGTGCTCTTGGAAACTCTTCTGGGCAGCAGTGCCACCACCTGTACCAGACAGGTGTCACCTGCAGTGCCACTGGTCAGTGACTAACTGGGGTCCTCCCAGTCCAACATTCCCTGACAAGGATTCTCCTTCTGGTGCATTTCTCAAAATAGATTAAGAATCCACAGTGCCACCGAGCTGCCCAGCGTTCTTCCTCCCTGCCTAGGCCTCCTAAAAGGGTTTTTATTGCAAATAAAAACCTCCTGTGGGCATTCTCTTCTTTACCAAGCCCTCTCCAAGACCTAACACAGTTTTCTTTTCCACTCATGTGAAAGGCCATGTTTACACTTCTTTAAAAGATGAGGACAAACACACTTCTTATACCATTTTATTTCCAAAACACTGGCTCCAAAATTAACAAACCAAGCCTTTAAATTCAAAGCCGATTTTTAATTATTTTTTTAAAGAACCCAGTTCCTGCCTAGCAAGCAATGTCATATTTGGGTGGGGCTACAGAAGTTGCAGTTGTAATGATATCCAAGCCAACACACCCAGATGAACAATGTCTCCCTCACCTTCCAAGCTGTGTTTAACATGAAGTTTGCATGGCACGCATAGCTCCCGAAGCATTCCCGACTCCCTGAGGAAACAAGGGGTTAAAGCCAGCAGCCTGCACTGGGAGAAGGGCTCTCCAGTGGGGACAGGCATTCCATGTGAGCAGGAGAAGCAGGGAGAGGAGCAGGCATGCTGCAGAACTGGAATGGAACAGCCACGGCTTTTGAATTTCGAGTTCAACGCCCTGCACTCAGAAAAACCCGGTTCCTGCTGAAGCCTAACCCAAAATACGAGTTATTTCTCAGCATCACCAAGCTTTGAACTGCTAATTCAGCAGGCAAATCACTTGCAGCCTTATGGAGTACTGGAATAGCTTAAAAATACATTCACACAGGAAACAAACCCTGGCATCGAGCACCTTTATGATGCCAAAACTGCAAAAACAGCCACACACTAAAATAGACATTTTCAAACTGGAAATCGACTTTGTTTACCACACTGCTACAACAGCAGCCCCGACTTTCTCTGTTTCACTACCATAACAAACCACGAAAACAGTTATTTTTCACAGTGCTCTTGAAAAAAAGATGTGAAAATCGGAAGGTGAAGAAGAGGGGCTGCCCAAAGGCCTCCTGTGGTGCCAAAGACTCTGCCATGTCCCAGGTGTGTCTCGTGGGAGAATCCTGCACCTCACTGAGGCTTCCAGAGGACACTGGTCTGGCAGATCATTGCATCCCTCGCACAGAAAACGCTCCTAACGCTAATGAGCACGAGATCCACAGGCAATGAGTATTTCTACCGTCCTTCCTAAATTTGTCTTCTCTCACAAGGTGCTTTCGAATAACATTTACCACACCCACTTTCCAAAACAAACAACACACTAAACTTATTTCTTTCTGTAACAGCATAAAACAGTGGAGAACCAGCATCACTCTGTAGCATAAATGCAGAAGCATTAAGATGCTCTCAGGTAGCACCGTGCTCTGTGAAAAGCTCCTTGAAACTGCAGTTAACCTGTTATCCCCTCGCTCCCACGTCATCTGCTGTCGCCACACTCCGATGGTTTTTTGTCCCAAGGATTCCTTTGAGCCCGAGCTGTGGCCCACCTGCCGAGGGCTGAAGTTTGGGCGCGGTGGAGCTGCTGCCCGCACGGGACGCCATGTGCCCACATCCCTCCCTATCCATGCGCGGCCCCGGCCTCCTAATTCCCAAAGCACGTTCTTCAGTCTGTTTGTAGCTCAGTTCCTTGTTTACAAAGTTTTTCCGTGTAGGGTGTCTTAGAAATTTAGGGGAAACTAAGAATTCGTGCAAGTTGTTATTTAAGAATATATGGAAACAAGAAGATGGCTATCAACGCTGTTCCCCTAGAAAATGACCCAAACAAATTTTGGAAAGCCCAGGAACTTCCAGATATCCTGTCAAACCCATCAAACACGAGTCAAGTTCAGGATACAAGGCCGAATGGGGCTTGGAGCAACCTGGTCTAGTGGAAGGTGTCCCTGCCCATGGCAGCAGGTGAACGAGAAGGGCCTTTCCAACCCGAACCGTTCCAGGATTCCATGTGCCGGTTTAGATGGGATACTGGGGCAGGAATTGCTCCCTCTGAGGGTGGGCAGGGGCTGGAATAGAATCCCCAGAGCAGCTGTGGCTGGATCCCTGGCAGTGCCCAAGGCCAGGCTGGACAAGCCGGGGACAGCGGAAGGTGCCCTACGGCAGGGCTGCAACGGGATGGCCTTTCAGCTCCCTCCTAACGCGACCGCCCCACGGCCGGCATTTCCCAGCTCGCGTGTCTCCCGTCCGCCCCGCACGCCCGACTCCATTTTGCGCGGGCCGAGCCCGGCACACGTGGGGCCGGCCGAGCCCCGCGCCGCCGCCGCCGGCCCCGCGGCCGCCCCGGGCGGGCTCCGCCATGCGCGGCCCCACGTGCGGCCCGACCCTGCCCCAACTCCCTCCCCGCCGGCCGCTCACCCTCCTTCCGCAGCGGCGCTCCGGGCTGGCCCCCGCCATCCTCCCGGCGCTCCCCGCCGGCGAAGGGCGGCAGCGGGTTCTTGCGCTCCTTCTGCGACTCCCTGCGCAGCTGCTTGGCCGCGCTGCCCGCGCCGCCGCCCGCCTGGCCCGCTCCGCCGGCCCCGCCCGAGGAGCCGCTCTGGGCGCCCGCCGGCCCGCGGGCCCCGCCGCCCGCTTGGCTCCCGCCGCCGCCTCCGCCGCTCTCCTTCCTCCGGCTCTCCGCCGCGCGCAGCACCTCGAAGGGATCGGACTCGTCATCGAAAAGCTGATCGAAGCGGTTGGTGACGACGCACCCGAAGCCCTCCTGCAGGTGTCCGGGCATGATGGGCCCCCGTCGGCGGGATCCTGCGCGGATGCTACCGGGCCCCCCGCGCCCTGCTGGCTGCCGCACAAGATGGCGGGCCCTGAGGAGACGCGCTTCTCTTCCGGCGCGGCCACATCCGGGCACCCCCCCCACGCAACGGTGGAGAGGGCGCTGCAGCGCCGCCAGCGGCCGCGCCGCGAACTGCAGGCGGGCATTGTGTGAGGCGGGCGCGGAGTTTCCCGCCGTGGGCTGTACCATCGGGGAGAACGGGGGGGAACAGGTCGACGGGGGAGGCGGGGGGGACGCGGGGCGGGGCGGAGCCCCGCACCGCGCCCCCCCCGCCTCCCCCGTCGACCCCCGCGCTTCGCTCGCCGGTGGTACCTCCCGCGTGTGGGCTTGCCTCAGAAATAAAACCTAAATTTAAAAAAAAATAAAGTTGATTTCCAGGCTTTGATCTGAAAGTTTTTTTTCCGGTTTCTTCGGCATTTCTGCTCGTCTAATTAAGTGGAGGTGGCAAATGTTTGAGGTATTAATACGTATCAGCATATTACTAACATACAGTATAGATAAATACTGAATATTTCTATCTATAATAATATGTAATGTATGATATATTAATATCTATGATGATGTATAATATGTAATAACAATGCATCGTGCATTCTACATAACGTGCAAAGCACACCTAATGTTAACATAAATACACACATAATGTTAACATAAATGCTGTATATTAATCATAACGTATTGATGTAATTATGCATCAACATACCGCTATTATAATATTGATATATTATATATGCACTAGTGTCAGATTATAACCAAAAGGCATTATATCAAGAGATAGATATAAAACATTATATACATATAAAAAACATAACAAACATAATAATGACACTGCCTCATTTATTTATATAAATAAAAAACATAACAGATTGACATGTCCTTCAAAACACAATTTGACTGCTCACTGTTTATATCTCTAAGTCATCAGAACATTTTGGCACCTGTTACAAAATAAACTTTGCGCTCAGCAAGGATGTTATTTCCAACATTTCCTTTGCTTGCTCTCAGAAGCTTGAAATAATTGCTTTAAAAATTAATTTAATTCCATTTCTTCAGTCCTTGAGTGCGTATCGCTCATCAATTCAAAACCGGTTTGGAAAACTACGTAGTTTAGTTTCTTCAAATAAGTGAAAAATTTTTGGGTTCATGGATTGTTCTTTGTTATATATTATATAGTATATAGTATACATTTTTATACATTATATATTATATATTATATATTATATATATAATATTGTGTATTATGTATTGTATGTTATACGTATTGTATATTTTATATTATATAGTATATCTTATAGAGTATATATTATATATTTATTATATCTTATATCTTATATATTATCTATTATATATTATATGTTATATATTATATATTACATATTATATATTATATATATTATATTATATGTATTTCTTTCGTTATAGATTTTATATTCTATTTCCCTGCAGTCCCACAGGTCCCTGTGCTCACTTCTGGGGAGGTTTTTGAGGAAACCCCTCCTGCAGCAACTCTGAGGGGGATTGCAGCAGCTCCCCACCCTTCCTGGGATATGAATAATCACCATAAATGACACCCTCAGAACTGAACACGTCCTCTCAAAGCCTTTTAGGGATGAATCAAACAGCACCGAGCAGCACCTAATTAAAAGGACATTCCCAGGAAAATCCCCGTCAGCGCTCCGAGGCGCGTTGTGCCACACACGTATTTTATGGACTGAGGTATTGATGATCCCAAGATTGTAAAAAGTCTCTGGTTTTTTTGCTTTGTTGCCAAAGCAGAAGCCATAATTGGTCTGTGCTGGTTTCCAGGTTGTTTATTCTGTTTATCTCTCACATGTTCTGCTGCCCTGCCCAGCTCTGTCCTGCAGGGCAGCATGTGGGGCTCTGCCCTCAGTGGGATGTGACAAACATTCAATACCAGAAACTCCCTGGGCTGCATTTACAATAACGTGCCAATATCTGTCACCCACGTTGGACAGTTTGTCCCCAGCCTGAACCAACAGAAAAATGCCAACACCACAGTGAGACATGGAGGGCATGAAGAAGGAGAAAAAGGACAAGGCACGCCCAATTTCCTCCAGCTTGTCCCCTTTGGACCCCTCATCTAGAATCCTAAAATTTTACTTTTGCACCTGTGCCACACTTAATTATTACTGATATCAAACACTCAGAGCTGGTAATTCATCCTGTAAGATTGAAATCTCTTTTCCATGGGCAGAGATCACAGCCAGTGTCTCTGGGGCTCTGTCCAGGGGGTTCCTGACCCCTGCCAGGGTCCCAGGGCAGCCAGGGGGATCCCTGGATTCCCACAATGGACGAAACACGAACCATTCCCACTTGGATCCCGCTTTTGCCAGATGGCACTGGCAGCTTTATGGGAGGGGGTTTACCCACAGAAATGGGCTCTGAGGGCTGGGATTTGCAGCTCTGAGGGAAGGCAGAGCATCTGCCTTTTTCTGCTTCTCAAGGGGCTCCGCATGTCCGGCTCCCCTGCGCTGTTTGCTCAGAATTCCACAATTTTCCAGCGACACAAGGCTTGGGGCGACACTTTGGATTAAACACACACCGAACACGGGACACAGGGAATGGCTTCCCACTGCCAGGTGGGATATTGGGCAGGAATTCCTGGCTGGGAGGGCGGGCAGGCCCTGGCACAGGTTCCCAGAGGAGCTGTGGCTGCCCCTGGATCCCTGGAATCTCCAAGGCTGGGTGGGAGCAGCTTGGGAGAGTGGAAGGTGTCCCTGATCCAGATGGTCCTTTCCAACCCAAACCATTGCATGCTCTGATGAAAACAGACTGGAAGTGTTTAATACACAGAGGGAGATGGATCACCACGTGAACACAATCAGCGGAGTCGTGCATTCTGGGCAGCAGGAAGCAGGAATTGCAGCCTGCAGGAAGCTCCAGCTCTGCTCTGGGATGTCACACGCTGTGCTTGCACGCTGCTGTTTGCATTAATCAGCCCCACAATCAGCCACATGGGTCAAAAGTCCAAAAGACAACGTTGTGCATGAGTATAATTCACAGTTTTCAGGCACTTCCAGCCTCAAGACAATATTATCATTCCTAACATTAAAAAAAGGGTGTTTAAAATATTTAAACTAAAAGGAAGCCTTTACACCAAGAAGATCCTAGAGCTGCACCCACACAAGACTCGTTGCTCATGTGAAGGACCAGGACAGGACAGAAGCCACCTGTGTTTAGGCCAAATTTGAAAAACAACCCATTAACTGCACATTGAAACGGATGAGTTTTCCCCAGGGGACAGGCACAGCCTTGCAGGAATCCCAGCCCACACTGGATCAGGACACAGATCTGCAGCCAGCTGAGGCGAGGATGAGTGGCAGCACTCAGACAGTGAGGGAGTGATTAAAAAACTTTAAAAACACCCCGAGATCCTCCAGGAGCTGCCACCAAAAGCTGGGCTGGGTCTTCCTGCACGACAGACGTGTGTGTTCTCCTTTCCCACCCAGCAAACCGGTGTTCCCAGTGGCCAGAGGAGCAGATTCCCAGATTCCCAGTGCTATTTCTGGCTGGGACACGCAGAGCTCCGTGGCCCATGGATATCCCACCTAAGGAGCTGCTCCCGAGCTGCTGCCCAAAAGAGGCCTGGAGAGCCTTCGGACACGCCACGCTCCTCTGCTATTCCCAAGCTTTGCCAGCAGCTGTCAGCTGCCTGCTTAATAAGCAGGAATAGGAAATGCAGCAAGTTCACAGCAGGGGGAAAAGTATTCAGCCGGGTCCTTGCTCCATTCCAAAACCACGGTTTTCCTGATTTTGTACTCTTTGGATCTGTGTTCAGTAATTTCGCTGTCAGCATAGGCAATGTGTGGACAAGGAGGATGTTGCTTGGAGATTTTTTTGACAGGAAGCTTCCCTTAGGTTGGACTCCATGGTCTTGGATGTCTTTTCCAGCTTTAATGGTTCTGTGATGCCAGGCCACAGGAAATAAAGGGATTGCTTCCAAATAAAGTCGAGTATAGCCACGACTTCTGAGCATGAAATATTTCACATGCATCACAGAGAAATGTAGCAACTTCTCAGCTTGCATCCACACGTGGATCCCTTCTGAGAAGAGCTCCCAGAATTAACCAGCACTGCCCAGCTGGACAGCAGGAATGAGCAGGAGAAGGCAGAGCTCACGAGGAGATCCACGATCTGCAACGCACCTCTTTATCCTCCCACATATTCTGCTCATTTCAGCACATCACTAGTTGCTGCTGCTTCTTCTTCTTTTTTTTTTTTTTTTTTTTAATATGGCAGAAAACGCAGCAGTTTCATTATGAGGAGGGCTGTAAACATGTGAATAACAGCAGAATTTCTACCCTAAGTACGTGCAGTGAAAAATGCCCTCCCACAGCATTGCTCTGTGCTTTAAAATGTGCACAGACAAGCAAAGCAAATCATGCAGACACAGAACTTGGCTTGTAAATCAAGGCAGACTAATTGAGCTCTGCCTGAACTTTCTTCCCCTGAATCCTAAACAACCTGCCGAGCAAGTGTTCTTCCTTGGAGCAGCCAAGGTAAGAGGTATTTTTAGTTTGGAAAAGCAGCTCTGGAGCTGTATGAAGCAGAAGGTCGGGTACACCAAACACTCCTTCTGTCGCTGCTATTTCTGTGAGCTGGGCTGATTCCTCTGAGCTGTGCTCCAGCCACCCCTTCCCTGCCTCTCCAAGCTGTGGAATGGTGGTGCCAGGAGGGGCTGGGGGATGGAATCATGGAATCACAGCTTCCTGTTGGGTTGGAAAAGCCAAAAATCTCATTTCATTCCACCCCCTGCCGTGGGCAAGGACACCTTCCACGAGACTACAATGCCCCAACCTGGCCTTGAATGCTTCCAGGGATGAGCTCACAGGAACCTCCTTGGCTGCAGTGGTCAAACACCTCCTTTGGAAACTGCCCTGGAGGAGAGAGGCTTTGCTTTCCTAATCTAAAAAGATGGAGAAGAGCAGAAAATTATGTTTCTCTTCCTAGGAAGCTCAGGAGAGCTCAGGCACACGGGGATCACAGCGCTGTGGGACCAAGGGGAGCCTCCACATCCCAGCACTCATCACTGCT